AATACTTCTAGCACTTAAATATAAGTGTTTTCTATGACCTAGGGTGTCTCTCATTGCATAATTAGTTGTTTAAACACTAATTGCATACATATATGTATCATTATATGAGAAATAGGATCTGTGTGTGCTTAAGTCTTCACTTGGTACTTAGCATCCTGTACCACTCGTTCATCTAGAAAGACACTACTCATTACTTCTAGTACAACGAAACATACAAGAGTTAGTTCATTCATGAGTCAATACAAAATTACTATTATGAGAAACTAAGAAGATATACTATTATGAGAAATAGAACGAATATACTATAATGAGAAACAAAGAGAACATACTACATACTAAACAGAGGGAACATACTACATACTATACAGAGAGAACATACAATACATATATATATATATATATATATATATATATATATATATATATATATGAATACAATAACATAAATGTGAGCCACTGTTTTGGGGCATGGCATCACTGCCATGGCTCGTTTTGTATCCAGAGTCTCCTGGAGGGAGAGCGTGAATTTATGTATAGATCTATATTGGATTGACTATCCTACACCTTACTGTTCGCTACAATGGGACTTGCAAGTCTACGGGTGCCAAATATCATTTCTTCCGATGTATTTCATCGTTGTGTTTTAGTCGGTAGTATGGTACAATCATATCATATTATACCTTAATTAACAACTGGTTTAAGGTAGTTAGTACAGTAGTAGTTACTATTATACAACACTACAGTACTTTATTATTTTTCCATTGCATTCACATTGTGATCTTCTCACATAAATGGTAATGTAAAAACTATATTTTGTTAATGATAGTCACACTTGGGAAAAATACACACTTTTACAAGAAACAAACATACAGAACATTTGATGCCTTGGTAAAAGGCTACTTTTAGTAGAAAATATAGGATTTTCTAGGAGATACAAACATTTACTACAAACATTTACAAACTTATACATCAAACACTTATAAACATTTTCATACAAAAAAATAACACTAAAATGCTTATGAACTCACCATCTTTAATGCTAATAAACTCTTTCAAAATAACTTGTATTCTCAGGTCATCAGTCGACAAGTACCGATGCCAGATTTTGAGAAGACGGAGCCTTCAAGACTCGTCTCTTATTTTGATTCATATTTTGGTGTCTTATAAACTATACATAACACACTTGTATTAAATTATATTATTAATGCAATGGATGATGTTGTTACTTGTTTACTATTATGATTTGTTGTGATACTGTACATGACGTCCTCCGCCCCAGAACATTTTCGCCGTTCTGGTTTTGGGGTGTGATAGTCCTCCACGTCGTGGTGAGGGGTGACCATTGACTTTTGTTGAGCATTGACAGTTAACTTTTTGACCAATTTAACCTTGAATCAAACTTGAAGGAATTGTGTTATTGATTAAGGTTCTACCTTGGTTTGGTGCTAGTCAGTTCGCAGGAGGGATCAATGCAGGGAGTAAGTGTGTTGTTGTGTTTTTGTGGATCTTCGATTCAGGTGAGTTTCCTTACCATACTATGTATTGTAGCGTATATCCTTGTATGTTGGGAGGTATACTTGTTAGAGTACTAGTAGGTTTGTGATCATCTAGTGGAGTGCTCTAAAGGCTATATGTAGTCACGTAGGATAGCCTGAGAACTCTTGATCTAGGCTTTCTTGCATGTTCCTTGTTTATGGCTCTAGAGTAGAATCACCTATTTAAATGGCTATCTCACATCTAGTTACATATAGCTATGCATTCCTTGGAAATCTGTCAATAGTGGCGTAATGTACTGTATGAGGCCTGATATGCAATAGCGAGTTGTTAAACAGGTAGACTACGGTAGATAGTTGTCTATGTTTGCGTGTTTACTTGATTGCTTGTTTGCTACATATGTCGACATATTGTGGTGGGTTGGGTTGATGTGGTACTGCTTTGTGCTATAGACCAAGATATATGGATGGGCCAACGGTATGTTGTAGGCCAGTGGTGGGTCAGTTGTATGCTGAGAGAGAGAGAGAGGGAGAGAGAGAGAGAGAGAGAGAGTTGTCTATGCTTACGTGTTTACTTGATTACTTGTTTGCTACATATATTGATATATTGTGGTGGGTTGGGTTGATGCGGTACTGCTTTGTGCTGTAGACCAAGATATATGGGTGGGCCAACGGCATGTTGTAGGCCAGTGGTGGGTCAGTTGTATGCTGAGAGAGAGAGGGAGAGAGAGAGAGAGAGAGAGAGAGAGAGAAAGAGGTCCAAACATGTTGTAGGCCTTGCATGGCAAGCCAGACAGACTGAAGACTCATGTGTTTGCATGCATTGTATTTATACTATGATGTGTGGTATTTTGGGGAAACTCACTAAGCTTTGGCTTACAGTTGTGGATTAAATGTTTTTCAGGTACAATTGGTAATTGTAGGAAGACGAAGACGTGATTGTATACATACAACATCAACAATGGAGATTTAGTATTATCTATAGTACTCTGATTTTCAAACAATTGTATTTTGGAACAAATGAGTTTCCTAACTTGGATTTTATGTAAAGGATGATTTTACCTTATTTAAAAAATGAAATTTTTGCTTGTAAAAATGGGACGTTAAAGGATTTTGTTAGATGATTTGAAGATTTCGCATATAACATCTGCAAAACCATCAAATTCATATGAGAAATCATCTGAAAAATAGTAAATTTTTTTTTGTCATTTGCACAAGTCAACCATATTTATCAAGTTTTCTTTTTGTTGTGGAAATGGTTTTTAAAGATTTCTAACACAAAAAACTTAAAAAAATTGTGTTTTTTTTTTCATAGATAAGATATGCAATTTTTTTCCCCAAAACGACATCGTTTTGGTTGTTGCATCATTTATCATATGATATCATCATTTGGTAGATGGATTGCCAATTTTACATATGTCATCTATGAAATTGATGACTATTTTGGTGATTAAATTTTCCAATACTTCTTAGAAAATGGTTAATATGATTAACCTGATTTGTTGATTAACTTGACAACATTCTCACGAAGTTTAAACACTTTTAAGCTTTTAAAATTTGTCCAAACTAAACCTAACTTCCTTCCGATTACTTTTAATGATCCACTATGATTGATTAACATCCAAACACACGTTTTAAACTTTAACTATCATCAGTGGCGGACGCAGACTGTTTTAGTAGGGGTGTCCCTCGTACTTCAAGCGGGTGCACGTAATAGAAAAAAAAAATTTACACTGCGTGCCGGAAATTGAGCAGTGGCCCGGGACCCCAAATGCCCTACATAGGTCCGCCACTGACTATCATCCTAATACGTTATTAATTCACTAATTTACACGCTAATATTGGATATTTAATGTTTGTATTCAATGTTCATATGAGTTCGTAAGTTTCTTTCCAAATGTATGTTCATCCATATATGCAATTAGATTTCAATATAATGATTCCAATTAACGATTTATAACTATATTATTGATTATGTTGATAATCAAACTAATCAAACATATTCGAAATCAAATATATATTGAAAGCTATCTAATACATTCACGAATCTTGAAACATTCATATGACAAATTAGAAGTTACTAGCATAATATTTTGGAATCGTCAACTAGATTTCAAACTCCAATACAATTCTAAGCTAGCTATTTCATCAAAATCGTTACTTGAAATTATTAATCAACATGTCTCTAACCTACAGTTCATGAGCTTCAAAACCACTCTTGAAGATGAAATCAAACAACAATAAATGTTGTTAGACAAATCAGAGAATAAATGTTGATTCACATATCTTCAAAATTGCAACTCCAAGCTTAATCTCCATTCCCTAAATATTATTATGAGGAAAAAAGAGCTAGTCTAAGGGATATGATCATATTTTTACCAACTTGATGTTTTTAGTCCCTCAATTCCTTATTTTTATCATTTGACCCTAACACAGTTGTAACTGATGACTAGCTTAAAAGTAACATAATGAATCCAAAATGAGGTTAAGTGAGTAATAAGGGTTGTATCTATTTTTCCTTAATTTAACCGAGTCAACCCCCAATTTCATAAACTTGACCAATTTTATATATTTAACTTATTTATATTATTAAATTCATTACGTTTACTTCTATTATCATTATATTTATATACTTAATTTAATTTTACGAAAGTTAAAAGTTATTTAACCATAAAAGGGGGGTGTTACATAACAATACTGTTTGCATATGTAAACTATACTCAAGTTTATATGTTTTCACCTTAGGAAAGCTGATGCAATCATAACAAATTTTTCTTATTTCATTGACACACTTGTTTCCAATACCTACCATAGATTAAACTTAAGTATTCTTGTCAATAAGATGATTATTTCTTTTTACCAAACAAGTTCATCATGATATTTTTACTTCAATAATAGGTTCAATTGCAATACTTTTTATTACAATAACCGAATCCATATCTAATTGATACAATTTCATAATCAAACTCACATTTACCTACAATTAAGTTTTAAGTAAAATTGGGTCACCATGGTGTAATTTAATTCAATATATACAATTGTTCAAAATAGTGTTATTACACCACAATAATACATATCTATATTGTATATAAGTTTAATGATCATTAAGTTGAACTTTCACCAAACATAACATGAAACATGAATTATTGCTACTTCATAGATTAAGAACACTTGAAGGCATACTATAGTAGCTAAGGCTTGGAATAAATTGGTTTGAGCTAGAAATTCTTAAAAAAATCAACTATAATTACTATTAATTTGCCATTTTAAACGCAAATTTCTCATACGGTATCTGATTAGGTCAATTATTTTTACATTGTCTTCCTTAGTTCGTTTTTAACTTAGCTACAAGATAACATGGAACATACAAATTACGTACTATGAATATAATTGTGTGATTATACCCAAAATAATAAATTGTTTCACTCACATTTTAAATTCTATTTTGAGAAATTAGTTACTTGACATATTAAAACATACACTTGCAAATCCAACCACATATACAAAATGTCAGTATGCTATAATTATAAAACATTATGGTTATTTTTTTTTTAGTTTTAGTTGTTTGTGACATTATATGTCTATAGAGGAAAAAACATATTCTCTTCAAATAAAAATATTTTTGAATGTGACATATTTTTAAGAAAATATTAAATCATGTAAGGGCACCTTATAAAGCATTTAATATATATAAATAATAAATTAGTTAATATATAAAAAAAAACTTTTGAAAATATTAAAAATAATTTAGCTAAAAGGTTTTATTAAACAAAAGTAAATAGTAAACTTTTAAGAAGTGAAAATGTTTTTAGATTTATATGTTATATTTAATAATTAAAAAAAATCGAATTAATACGATAAATGTTGATATATAGAAAAATATAAGTATCGACATAAATATTGATTAACGGGTTTAATTTTATTTATTGGCATGATTTGCAACCTAATAGAAAGTTGATAAAAATAGTTAATAGTAAAGAACAGGTGACACAATCAGGACGCAATCACATCGGGAGTTTTGTGCTTAATCATTCTTCAGTTCTCTGTGGCCGACGGAGACGACGGAAGCAACTTCAACGATTGCCTTAACACAGCAGACCACGAGCTCATTTTCCTAATCTGCAGCATAAGCAACTTCTTTTGTAAGATTGTTCATCAGATCTCCTTGATTTCAGTTTTTGTGGTTTTTGTTTCAATATTCATCTCCAAATCTCTGATCTTGGAGTGTATGGAGCAAGATTCTGTAGCATAGGTTGATACATGGTCAGCAGTGATTGGAAAACAACTTCCATTCAAGGGTTTTAATCGGAATTTTGAGTGAGAGTGAAATTGATTGAAGTTGAAGTTTTTAGGGTTTAGAATCGGATGCTGTTTTCTCAACTAGGTTTAGTAGTATGGTATTAATTTGATAATGGTGGTGAGAATTCTAGGTTTGACTCGCGCAGAGGAGGAGTCGCCGAGGGAGATCACACGAAACAATCTATTGAGTGAGAGCGGTGGAGAGAGTGGGTGGCTGATTAGATTCTTCGATTCTGCTTTCTTTTGTGAGTGGATTGCTGTTAGTTATCTCTACAAACATGATCACCCTGGGGTTAGGGATTACCTCTGTAACAGGATGTACACTCTCCCATTATCTGGCATTGAAAGCTACTTGTTTCAGATATGTTACATGCTTGTTCACAAGCCCAGTCCATCACTTGATAAGTTCGTTATTGATATATGCTCCAAATCACTTAAGATAGCTCTGAAAGTGCAATGGTTCCTAATGGCAGAGCTTGAGGATGCTGATGATAATGAAGGGATCAGTAGAATCCAAGAGAAGTGTCAGATTGCTGCTACCATAATGGGAGAGTGGACACCTTTGATTAAACCACATACTGAGCCCACCAACAACATTGGCAAAAACCAAGTTCTTACTAGGTTACTATCATCAAAACAACGATTACTATCATTAGCAACATCTCCTCCACCTCAAAAAACTTTCTCATTCTCTCCTGGAGCAAACCCTTTGCAGGATGAAGGTAGCAGCAAGGCCTCACCAGATGACAACACGATATTTAAGAAATTTATTCCCAGTCCAAAGGTGCGAAATGCTTTGCTTTTTAGGAAATCCGTTGATAAAGATGATGAGGAACCTGACAAGGATGGGTTCTTCAAGAGACTTTTAAGAGATGGTAAAGATGAAGATGAACCAGACAAAGATGGTTTCTTTAAAAGGCTTTTAAGAGAGAGTAAAGATGATGATGAACCAGACAAAGATGGTTTCTTCAAGAGGCTTTTAAGAGACTCTAAAGATGAAGAGAGAGATGATGAGGACAAGGAGAAGGATGGATTTTTCCGTAGGCTTCTGAAAGATAGTAAAGATGAAGATGAAGCGACATCAGGTTCGGATAAGTTTTTTAAACGGTTGTTTCGTGATAACAGTAAAGGCGATTTGGAGGAAAAGAATGTTTCAAAATCTGCTGAAGGAGATGATAAAGACGGGTTCTTCCGGAAGCTTTTCAGGGATAAAAGTGAAGAAGAAGAAAAAGTAACTAATTCCATTGAAGATGATGAGAAAGAAGGGTCGTTCTTTCGGAAAATATTTAAAGAAAAATTTGAAGACAAGAAAGATGAATCTGGTAATGATGAAGGCAAAGGACATGCAAATGGTGTGGAAGAAGATTCTGCAGATGTTCCCTTGTTTCGCAGGCTATTTCGTATGCAATCTGATGATAACAAAACTGCAGTTCCAAATGAAAGCATTAATGGTGGTGGGCTTGAAAGCAGTCCAGGAACCGAGATCTTTTTCAGAAAGTTGTTCAGAGATCGAGATCGTTCTGTTGAAGATTCAGAGCTTTATGGATCAAAGAAGAACAAAGAGGTTAATACATAATTCCAAGATTACTATTTTTTTTTTGTCTTGTTGGTGTTCTTTTTAATAATGTTTCTTTTGGCAGAAGAATGGTGGCCCATCAAAGCAAAAGACTGAGAATTCCAATCATAAGCCCCCTTTGCCTACTGCATCACAGTTTCGTAAAGGAACATATCATGAGTCCCTTGACTTTGTTCACTCCTTATGTGAAACTTCATATGGTCTAGTAGATGTTTTTCCAGTTGAAGATCGCAAAAGTGCACTTTGTGAGGTTGTTCTTTCTCTTACCTGTTTGCTTTTTCCCCCCTTTTCTCTTTGAGCCTTATTGTTAGTTCCTGATTCATGCTCTATTGCCTATATAACTGCTTTCTGCTTTATTGTCTGTGTGAATGAACACTATATTGTGTATTTACTGAGCCTCGGAATCTTTGATTCCTGTGTTTGTAGTCACTCACGGAGATCAATACGCATGTTTCTGCAGCTCAAACTAGTGGAGGTCTCTCTCTTTCTCTCTCTCTCTCTCACACACACACTGAATATAATGTTGTACACATGTCTAATTTTTAGTTTACTTTTTGTTACATGGTAGGTGTGTGCTTTCCCATGGGGAAGGGAATGTATCGTGTGGTTCACATACCAGAAGATGAAGCTGTTCTTCTTAATTCAAGGGAAAAGGCACCATACCTAATATGTGTTGAAGTATTGAAAAGTGAAACTGTGAGCATTGTGAAAGACAACTCCACTTCTCAAAAGCTCTCAAAGGGTGGAATTCCATTGGCTAATGGAGATGCATTTTTACCAAAACCTCCTCCATGGGCCTACCCTTTATCAAATGGACATGATCTTTACCACTCTAGTTATGATAGAATGTCACAATCTGCTTCTGATGCAATTGACCAAGCAATGGGTCAACTGTGGGACTCAAAAGCAAAGTTTGTTAATGTGAGCCTTGTAGTGGAGAACCCATCGCCTCGATGCTCAAATTCAAACAGCTTTGAGATATCTGACATTCATCATTGTGAAGGTAGAGGTTGTGCAAATGGAGATGATTTAGAATGGGTGAGAGTAGTGTTGACTGCAGATTCTGGAGTCAAAATGGATGACATTGAGGTTCAAGAACCACCACGAAGGAGGGAACACCGCCGTGTTCCGAGTAATTTAGCTTTTGAGGAAGTGAAGGTGCATTATTTTCTTCTTCTTTTTGTTGGAAATTTTATTAACTTTGAAACCTAAGTTTGTTTATACTTTATGCAGGCTGCTGCATTGAAAGGAGAAGCACCTGCTGGACTCCCTGTAAAAGGGTCTGGTCAAACTTCATCAAATGCACAACCGAAGGTGAGCTTTAGCAAATGATGAACATATTTTAATGTGATTGTGATTTCTCTGAAACATGTTTTTTTTTTTTTTTTTGGAAATAGGATGTAGATGGTGCAACTCCAAAGGCAGGTGATGCATTGTCTGGTGAACTTTGGGAAACAAAGAAAGATAGAATACGTGAGGCTTCAGTATATGGAAAACTTCCTGGTTGGGATCTGTGCTCAGTAAGTTTTACTTTTACATCTGATTATGTAGCAATCATTTATTGTTTATATTGTGTCTGGTGTTGATCTTTTATATGTTATTGTTTATTTACTTTTAGGTTATTGTGAAAAGTGGGGATGATTGTAGGCAGGAACATCTTGCAGTGCAGCTGATTTCTCACTTTTATGGTATGTTTGTTCTTTATGATTTATATATAATACAATAAAATTCATATGAAAATTTATGTCATTCCTAAAACACGATCATGTAATGTATTGCCTCAAACAAATTTCTTGCGAAGAAGATAAATACAAAGTTAAAGTTGAGGAACACCAGATATAGAGTGAAAGTGAATGTACATTGCATTTATCTCTTGTTTTTATTGGATATTGTTGGAAAATTGATGGATTGTTTGTTATAATGGTAGACATATTCCAAGAAGCTGGACTACCTCTGTGGCTACGCCCTTATGAAGTTCTTGTCACATCATCTTACACAGCTCTAATTGAAACAATTCCAGACACTGTACAATATTTCATCCATTTTTTTTTTTTCTTTTTCTTTTTTTTGGTTTGAAATATAATGATCTCTAAAATTTACTCCACTTGGGTTTATTGTAGGCATCAATTCACTCTATCAAAAGTAGATTCCCCAATATCACGAGCTTGCGTGACTTTTTCGTAGCCAAATATCAAGAAAATTCATCAAGTTATAAGCTTGCACAGGTATTTAAATGCTCTTAAAACACAAACACAAACACCCTCATTAGGGGTTGTGGATTCTATTTCTAATGATGAATTTTTGTTGTAATGTAAATGTAGAGGAACTTTGTGGAAAGTATGGCTGGATACTCCCTGGTTTGCTATCTGTTACAGGTATTGTATTCATTTCTCTACACTCAAACAATCAACAATATGATATTGATAAAAGATAGATAGTTATTTTGTTATCATTTTGGGGTAGGTGAAAGATAGGCACAATGGGAACCTATTGCTAGATGAAGAAGGCCACATTATACACATTGACTTTGGGTTCATGCTCTCCAATTCACCTGGTGGTGTTAATTTTGAGAGTGCACCTTTCAAGTTAACCCGTGAACTTCTTGAGGCAAGTAATACATTACATTACATTGAGATATGTTTTAGAAATGAACCCTAAACCCCTTTCCTATTTCTATTTGTGATTTAGGTTATGGATTCGGATGCCGAGGGAGTTCCAAGCGAGTTTTTTGACTACTTCAAGGTAGGTATATAGATAATACCCTTATAATAAATATACATTAAAATAGTGTATTTGACTATTTGTTTGTTTGTTGAGTTTTTTTTTTTTCGACAGATGAGATATGTTGTTGACACTTGACACAATGTTATGAATTTAGGTTTTGTGCATTCAAGGCTTCCTAACATGTCGTAAGCATGCAGAGCGGATAATTCTACTTGTTGAGATGTTGCAGGTAATAATGTCATCTCAATTTAATCATTAATTGAGTGGATAATTGATTGAGTTATATTATATTATTTATTAAAAATTATAATATATATAACTTGTAAGGTTTGAAAAATTTGTATCTTTTTGCATCAGGACTCTGGTTTTCCTTGTTTCAAAGGTGGTCCAAGGACAATACAGAACTTAAGAAAACGATTCCACTTAAGTTTGCCAGAAGAGGTTTCTTTCTACTTTTTATTTTTTTCAACTTTCATTTCTTCTTTTATTTATATTTGCAAATTTCTTAACTTGATCGCTAATATATATATGTATTTTTTTTTTTTTTTGCAGCAATGTGTATCCTTGGTGCTTTCCCTGATTAGCAGCAGCTTAGATGCATGGAGAACACGTCAATATGATTACTATCAGAAAGTTTTGAATGGAATTTTATAAGAAAATGTAAAATATCCATGATTCTCCTTTTCATTTAGGCCATGTGAATGATATATAAATCAACTAATTGGCCTAAAAAGACGGATATAATTCTTCCAACAACATACGGTAGTGTACAGGAGGTTCGTGGTGGTTCGTTGTTTTCCGGCCCCACCATATTTCAAACTTTGCCACCGGACTGCCGCCATCGGTACTTGTAAATTTGGCGGCAGAGGAGGAATGGCAATGGCGGTTGGTGGTGTTGATAGGTTGCTTGCTTATATGCATTGCATATCATAAACCCCATGTTTCTTTTTTTTTTTTTTTTTTTTCTACTTGGTTCACGGGAAGAACAGTTATGGTGATGGTGGTGTTGTGTATAATTCTTGTTTTTGTTTGGTCGATGATAATAGAGGAGAGAGAGTTACATGTGTTTTAGTGTGAAATATTGTGTATTTGTAATCAACAAACATTCGGATTTTGTTTCATTTTTAAGTAAATCCTATGATTTCCTCACTTCACTATGCTCTCATTTATTTTGTTTGCAATTTATTGTTGAAATTTCTGTTCTTTTAATTCTTGTATTTTTTGAATTTTTATCATAATGGAATTTTTTTTTCTTAAAATGAAATATGAAGATACGAAGTTATTCATTAAACGTTGCTACGATTTTAGAAATTTTCTTTTTTGCAAAATGTGTAGTTAAATAGTCACACTTTCTTAGTTTGTGTGACATCATTCAAGATTATCATGTTGGATCCGTGTCTACTCTACTCTTACAATAGAGTTTGAGAAACCATGATACCAATTATCATGCACGACGTTTTGAGACTGGCTTTAAAATACTCAAGTATTTTAATGGATCAACCATCAATGTCTTGGGGTTGTGGACAGCCGAGAACCCTTTTTAACCATCGCTGAGTGAGGTGAAGACGGTAATGTGGAGTTTAAAGCACAGAAAAAATTAAAGTTACATGAATACTAATCTTATTTAACAAAAATAAAGTTACATTAATACTAATTGTAAAAAAGTAAAGTTGCATAAATGTGTCATATGTCATTTGCTTCATCATAAATGTGCACTTACAAAAATATAGTTACATAAATGTGTAAAATGACATTTGCTTCATCAATCATCATCGTCAATTTGGAGCATCCACACCGGTGGTATTGTTAAATTTGATATAACTTAACTCACATGAATATAATATTAATATATATTTTTAAAATGGTCCCCACTAAAAATTAATAAACTATTTTATATATTTTAAAATATATATTTTAAAAATTAATATATATATATATATATATATATATATATATATATATATATATATATATATATATATATATATATATATATATATATATATATAAGGAGTGGGTCCTACATTGCAAATCTTTCTAAACTTGCAAGACTGCATACATGCATACATGACAACATATAACTCATTTGCAAGACCATTTGAAAATGCGATATAGATGGTTTTATAATTAATACTGGTACTACAATATTCTTATTTAACTTCGCCATTTTTTTTCCTTTGCTAGTAAGTTTACTAACATTATTAGGATCCTTTAGTGTATCTTTGTTGATTTTGTGTGTACCTTCATTCTTAATGACATCTCTTTTTCTTTTAGGACATGTTCGACAAAACTAGTTGCTAGCGGATAGCGTGTAGTTAGTAGTGTTTTGTTAAACGCTACATGATGTAGCTTTTAGATTTGAAGAGTTTTGTTTAAAATAAACGCTAAAAGTTTGTAGTGCCAAACGAGGTTTTTTTTGTTCAAAATGGAGTGTTTTGTCAAACGCTAGAAGGTCCCAAACACTCTCAAATGTTCCATTACAAACAAGCCCTTAGTGTTTAGCCGCCATGAAATGGGATGAGACAATCTGTGCATGGCCACAATTCACTATTATTAATCAGTTTATGGCTAAACTATATTCATCATCTATAAGTTATGTCAAACGTTATGGATATTATCCGTAAAATTATTTTTTTCCTCGTATTATCCTTGTGGTTCATTTTTGTTGCATCTTTGGTCATTCATGTCAACAAGTTACTAGATTGACACTAAATAGTTAGAAAAAGACCAATATACCCTTCCTTTTTGATTTATTAACAATTTAAAATTCTATTAAATTGTTGTTAGTGAATCTCATAGTTATCACCTTATTTGAAGGTCTTAGTGAGCTCAATCATATACGCATAAACACATTTTCAAGCATGATAAATCCCATCCATTGCTTCTTGTAATTAATGTCTTATCCCAAACCCTAAAAAGTGATACCATATAACACGAATAACCTGCCGACCCATACATAACAACCTTAAGCCCATTATATGAGTGCTAGATCACGTACTTAACGACCTATTTGATAGGTTTTATAGGTTACAAAATATGTGGCAGAAAAACTTAACCATAAGTTCACATGCAATCTATTGGATCTAAGTTTTATTTATTGATTGCAACAAACAATTAAACATCAAGAACTCTTGGAATACTCTGCTATTTTTGAAATTCACAAAACGATTAGGGTTTACACACCTTTTGATTATTGTTATAAATAATCAATAAAACCCTTCTTGAACAAACTCTAGAAAGTACGCACCAGAAATCTCGTGCCTTTGATATCTCACACCTAAAACCCTAGAAAACTTAAAATGAAGAGGAGAGAGAGGGAGAAGAAGGAGTTTCGTTCTGAATACTCTTAGGAATGTCATGAATGAAAATTTATGGCCTTGAGATCCTATTTATATTTTAGGTAACTTGCAAGCAAAGCAGAATCTAAATTTATTAAATAATATATTTAATCCTAATTCAAATCCTTTTCTTTTTATGCAACCACGAAACTTTCAGAAACCCTAGAAAGACTCCTAATTTCGTTCACCCCTTGGATGATTCTATAATTGCTTTTTTTTCAACTATTAAACAATTACAATTAATCCATTGCACCTTTAATTAATTCCAATTAATCTTAAATTAATTTTAGATTAATTTATAGGGAAAATGACTCTTGAGGGTAATTAACTTTTGCGTTTGTACTCATTTGGTCCCTTTTTTTTTTGTATTCAATATACCATCGAACTTGTTGTTGGTGTTTACCATAGCCCTTTTGACCGGCTTTTGACCTGTGATAGTCGGTCAAAGGGTTATGGTGAACACAAACAACAAGTTCGATGGTATATTGAGTACAAAAAAAAAGGAAAGGGACCAAATGAGAACAAACGCAACAGTTGGTTACCCTCCTGATTCATTTTCTCTTTACTCATTTACAACAAATCCCACATCATCTCCTACTAATATTAATGACTTTATGAGATTCATTCTCGCTTCTCTTCAAAACATAACCTACGAAAGGACATTATTCATACATGTACAACTTTGTAATACACTTGAATATTTATTAGGGGAATCTTGAATAAGTAGGCGCATTTCATGACTACATTTACATTTGCCAATCAAATGATTTATTGTATCATGGATTCTAGACAAGTCTACAAACGAGTGGAATCACAAGTGCTATGATTTTTGAGTTTACTTAGCTTTAAGATCGAACTCATGGGATAAGATAAAACATCAATATGTACAATATTATGGTGATGTGTCTACAAAAGCAGCATGATATTGTACATATTGATGTTGTATCTTATCCCATGAGTTCGATCTTAAAGCTAAGTAAACTCCAAAATCACAGCACTTGTGATTCCACTCGTTTGTAGACTTGTCTAGAATCCATGATACGATAAATCATTTGATTGCAAATGTAAATGTAGTCATGAAATGCGCCTACTTATTCAAGATTCCCCTAATAAATATTCAAGTGCATTACAAAGTTGTACATGTATGAATAATGTCCTTTCGTAGGTTATGTTTTGAAGAGAAGCGAGAATGAATCTCATAAAGTCATTAATATTAGTAGGAGATGATGTGGGATTTGTTGTAAATGAGTAAAGAGAAAATGAATCAGGAGGGTAACCAATTGTTGCGTTTGTTCTCATTTGGTCCATTTCCTTTTTTTGTACTCAATATACCATCGAACTTGTTGTTTGTGTTCACCATAACCCTTTGACTGGCTATCACAGGTCAAAAGTCGGTCAAAAGGGCTATGGTAAACACTAACAACAAGTTCGATGGTATACTGAATACAAAAAAAAAAAAAAAAAAGGGACCAAATGAGTACAAACGCAAAAGTTAATTACCCTCAAGAGTCATTTTCCCTAATTTATATTAATAATTAATTAATTCTAATTGATTTATTATTAATTTTTAACCATATAAATTAACAAATAAATTATTTAACTATTGATCTCATGTTAAATTTTTAATCACATAAAAAATTATATGTTAATTATCTATTCCCAATTAACATATATTAACAAAACATTTCTCTATTTCCTAATATCATTTATAGCTATTTCTGGTTATGGGGGCAACCCAAAAGGACTTTGCTTATATTTTTCAAGTTTATACCAATTTAGTTATGATCTTAAACACTTTAATCCAAAACTATTAGGACCGTGGAACTAAGTGGTAAGAAAATAACCCTCTATTTAAGGGAAATTACATCTCGAGAAACCTTCACATTGTTTGGCAAGCCTCGAATATAGATCTTTTATTTTATCTCATCCCTAAACATATCAATCGCAACGAAACTAATGAGGTGGTAGGATGCATAACGTATACGGGCAAAAGTTGTTGATGTGTAAAATATGGGGAGTTGGATGTAACTACCAATAGTATATAATGAACTAATAATGCCAATTGGTCATAAATTTGAGTCATAGATTTCATCTTCGTCTCTCGTTCAATTTAGAGATTTAGGGTTCTTGTACCTAGGGTTTCACATTGATTTGTTGAATTTACAAAACATTTTCAGTTCTTTGTTGACTATTTTATGTTATATGTTAAAAGTTGTTTTGATTTGAGAAAAAAGAAGTATATGTAAAGTGGTTTATGTTTCAGTGTTGTTAAAATATTTTGAAGGTTGAGTTTATGATTTTTTTTTTTGGAAAGGGAACTTCCCTAACGAGGGTTTCCGGGCCAGCTTTCGCGCACCGACTAATCCCCTGCTGCAAACATAAAGCTTTGCCTCACGCCCTGGAGTCACTGCAGGCGAACCTCCATAGCCACAAGTGCTGAGTGGTGCCAGGATTTGAACATGAGTCAATAGGTTATCCACCATATCTTCCACATGCCTTACCAAGTCACTACAACCCAAGTGGTTAAGTTTATGAATTTGTACATGGTATTAAAGAGAAGATTCGATTTTCAGTCGTTCGTTTATGTCATTTAAT